TGGCTTGGAGCGGAACTTCTGACACCCTTTGCACTTCTAGACCAATTCTTTGGCGTCTTCTAGAGCAGTCGGCCAGAAGAAACCATGGCGGAAAGCTTTGGCAACAAGTGATCTCGAAGCCGCGTGGTGACCACATTCGCCTTGGTGAATATCTTTGAGGATTTCTTGACCCTGGTCCGGCTCCATGCAGCGCTGGTACACACCAGTGACACTGCATTGAACCAGTTCTTTGTTGACTATGGTGTATGCTGCTGCCCACCGTTGCACTTGTCGGGCTAGGATCTCGTCAGCTGGCAGCTCCTTGTGCACCAGGAAGTTGAGGATGGGTTGAGCCCATGAGGGTGCTGCTATCTCTTCGACTGCCATGACTGCAACTTGTACAAGGGCGGTTGGGCCGGGAGGCGGCGGGTTGGAGTCGTTTGCCGCCTGCTGCTTTGAAGAAGTCCCCGGGCCTACTGCTGCAGTCCCCGGGCCGGGTTCTGAAGTCCCCGGGCTGGGTGCGACGGCTGCAGTCCCCGGGCCGCCTGCCGAAGTCCCCGCGTCGGCTTTTGGGGTCCTCAAGTCGGATCCGACTACTTCAGGAGGGGCCGGCACGAAGATGGAGTCAGACTCTGGTGATGGCTTGATAGACAGCTTGAGGAGGCGCTGCCAGGCGATGCCGGCTGGTATCGTCTGCCGGGTGGAGCCGATCCGTGCCAGGGCATCTGCTTGCTCGTTGTCGTTTCTTGGCACATGGAGGAACTCGCACCCGTCAAAGTATCCACTGAGTTACTGTACGAGGAAGCGGTAGCTTGCCATATTTGCGTCCTTGGTGTCCCAGTCGCCTGACGACTGCTGGACCACTAAGTCGGAGTCACCATAGCACAGGATCCGGCGAATGCCGAGTTCCTTGGCAAGCCGGGGCCCATGTATGAGTGCCTCATACTCGGCTACGTTGTTGGAGGCGGCAAAATGGATTTGCAGCACATATCTGAGCTTGTCGCCTTTGGGAGAGGTGAGGACGATGCCGGCTCCCAGACCGGTGCGCATTTTTGAACCATCAAAATGCATCGGCCAATGGGTGTAGTCTGGCGCTGGCGGCAAGTACTGGGTCTCGGCCCAGTCGAGGAGGAAGTCGGCCAGTGCTTGTGACTTGATGGCGGTGCGAGGCTGGTAGTAGATGGTATAAGGGGCCAGATCAATAGCCCACTTGGCCACTCGGCCTGAAGCATCTCGGCTTCCAATGATCTCAGCAAGCGGAGCAGTGCAGACAACAGTAATTGGGTGCTCTTGGAAGTAAGACTTCAGCTTCTTGGCGGCAAAATGCACACCATAACACATCTTCTGATAGTGGGCGTAGTTTTGCTTGGAGGCAGACAGTACTTCACTCAAGTAATATACCGGCCTCTGGACCGGCAATGCTCTGCCCCCCTCCTTACGTTCTACCACTATGAATGTGCTGACCACCTGGCTGGTGGCGGCGATGTAGAGAAGCATGGGCTCTTTCTCAGTTGGAGCCGCCAAGATAGGCGGGGTGGTCAACATCTTCTTGAGTTGGAGAAAAGCTTCGTCCGCCTTGTCGTTTCACTCAAAAAAAGTGGTCTTCTTCATGAGCTGGTACAGAGGAAGGGCCTTTTTGCCCAGCCGACTGATGAAACAGCTGACTGATGCTAGGAAACCGTTGAATTTCTGCACGTCCAGCAGTCGGGTGGGCACCTCCATCTTCTCAATGGCCTTGATCTTCACAGGGTTACACTCTATGCCGCACTCTGAGACCAGAAAACCAAGAAGCTGGCCGGCTGGTACTCCAAAGAGGCATTTCTCCGGGTTGAGCTTGATCTGGAATCGGCGCAAGTTGTCAAAAGTTTCCTTGAGGTCTTCCAGCAGCGTGCCACGCTTCTCTGTCTTCACCACCACATCATCCACATAGACATGGGCATTTCTGCTGAGTTGCTTGAGGAGTCACTTCTGCATGCAACGCTGAAACGTGGCACCGACATTCCGCAAGCCAAATGTCATGGTCAGGTAGCAGAAGGCTCCGAATAGCGTGATGAAGGCGGTCTTCAGCCTGTCGGCCGGGTTCAGCTTTATCTGATGGTACCCTGAGTATGCATCCAAAAAACTCAACAGCTCGCATCCGGCTGTGGAGTCTATCACTTGGTGAATTCTTGGCAGGGCAAAGGGATCTTTGGTGCAAGCTTTGTTGAGGCTGGTATAATCAATACACATGCGCCACTGCTTATTTTTCTTCAGCACAAGAACTGGGTTGGCCAGCCACTCTGGAAAGAATACTTCCGTGATGAAACCGGCTGCTAGAAGCCGGGCTATCTCTTCTCCGACAACTCTTCTCTTCTCTTCCAACAGGCGGCGCAAGGGCTGCCTGACTGGCTTGGCGTCAGGTCGGACATGTAATTTGTGCTCAGCGAAATCCGTTGGAACACCCGGCATGTCTTTGGGAGACCATGCGAAGATGTCCCGATTCTCATGGAGGAAATCGACGAGCTCGCTTTCCTATTTGCTGTCAAGGTTGGCACCTATGACAGCGTGCCTCTTCGGGTGCGACATATGCCAACGGATGGCTTATCATGGTGGGAGCAAGTAGAACGTCGCCGGTGCCTGGAAGCGGGATGAGGCATAAACACGTACACCAGCGCACTTTACCCAGGTTTGAGGCTCTCCTAGGAGATAACACCCCTAGTCCTACTCGGCGGGTCTCCGCATGATCACTAAGGCACAAGTGATACAATGGTGCTCCTTGAGCCGTGTGCTAGAGGCAAAGGAGGCAAGGCTAGCTCTCTTCCTATTCTAAGGTAGTGGCTAGTTCTAATGGAGTGGGAACCCTTTGCATGGGTGCCCTGGGGGGTTTATATAGGCCTACCCCCTAGGTGTACAACGGTAATCTCGCCGGGTGCTGGACCCGGATGTTAGTGTCTCTGGCCTCCGGCTTCTCCGCTGACTACTGAGGCCCGCCGCCTAGTGGGCCCCGCCGACTGGTCCGGTACGGAGCCGACAAGCCGCTCCCGCCGCTGACAGGTCTGGTTGGTGGCTGCTCACTGTAGCCGTGATGCTAATGACGCGGGCTTGGTCAGCTGAGTGTGGCTACAGTCCCGCCGCCTGGTGGGAGATCACTGTAGCCACACCTTGTCTTTGTCAGGTTAATGGCGCATTGACTTCGAGAGAGGGGACGGCCGCCTGCTGGAGGCCGACCTCCCTCAAGTCCGACTAATCTGGCATCCGCCGTCTTCCGGGCTATCACTGCCTGATAGGGCCCGCAGGCCGTACCGACAGGTCGTCGTGGGGAACAGAGCTCCGTCTGTCTGGAGTGACGTCAAGGGGGGAGTGGCAACAGTCCCGCGCCATGTGGAGATCTCCGCCTGTACGGACACTGTGGCCACGCTAAGCCCAAGATTCGGGGGTGAGGGACTACACTGTAGCCACACCCTGTCTCGTCCTCTTGATGGGGGCCGGTGCAGACTCTGAGGGCGCCGGGGGGCCGCCTATACGACGCCGTCCTCTCTGGAGGCCGGCTGACGGGAGTCGGCCGCTCTTGGTGCCGTCTGCTGGTGGTTGGCCATCCTCCGGTGGCCGACCGTTGAGCCAGCCGGCCTCCGAAAGGTGGAGCTTCAGTCTGAGGTGTTGCGGGGCGAGGCTGGCCCGAAGTTTTGACAGGTTCAGGGACTCGGATGAGGCTACCCGTGGCCCATTACTCCGACACAAGTAGCAGAGCAGGTTTATGTATAGCCAAAATTCACACAATTTATCTCCTATGAAAAAAATAAGCCCAGCCATTCACTCCAAGAACCAGGCCCAGCTCGTTTCTTCCCTTTTCTTTGGCATGTTTGCAGTTTAGCCCGAAATGGACCGCTTCCAGCCGGCCCAAGGTGGCTGCACTCCACATGAAGTGAGAAGTCAGGTTAGAAGCTGGATATGAGTTGTTTTTGAGAAGCTAGCAAGTCTCCGAACATGCCCTTAGGGTGTGTTTGGTAGGGTGCATGAGGGCAAAAGTTTTCAATCCGACCCATTTTTGCTTGTTTAGTAGGGTGCATAGGCTCACCTGGGCTATGCCCAACTGGTGCAAGAAAGGTCCCTCAGCCATGCCCATCTCATGCACCCTACATGGAGGCAGCCATGCTGGCCCCGACACTCATCCCCACCCACCAGACCACGTCCAGATATGTCTAAATTTTCAAAAAATCTTTATAATTTTAAATTTTATTTAAATTTTCAAAAAATACTTAGAATTTTAAAATTTGTGTAAATTTTCAAAAAAAATCAGAATTTCAATTTTTCTGAAAATGTTCAAAATTCAAAATTGTTTCAATTTTGAAAAAAAATATAATTTCAAATTTTGATTAAATTTTCGACAAGTTCAGATTTTCAATTTTTTAAATTTTTTTAGAAAATATTCAGAATTTTAAAATTATTTAAAGTTTTAAAAATTTCAAGAATTTTTTTTTAAAATATGTTCAGAATTTCAAATTTTGTTTAATTAAAAAATATATTTTTGTTTAAAATTTTAAAAACTTCATACTTTCAAAATATGTTTAAATTTTTGTTCACGTTTTTTCAAATTTGTTCACCATTCAAAAAAAATTATTCGGAATTTTTCAGCATGTCTAAGCACATGCAGGCTGCCAAACAAAGTCTCAGCTCATCATGTCTCGACGCATACACCGCTGCCAAACAACAATAAATGCATGGACTCATCCTGTATCAGAGGAGAAACAACTAGGCTAGGTCCATGCATGTCTACACACCCTTGGTCCTAGGCTAGGTCCATGCATGTCTACACACCGTTGGTCACATGAAACACACAGAGTTACTCACTACAGTACTACACATTTTCTAAAACTAATGGTGGCCTCCCCTGCTTCTCATACAATAAGGGAAGGTTTGCACAAGGATGGTTGCCATGCACTCTGGCTTGCCGTGGGAAGGAATTCGATGTATTCCAAACTTTGAAGGAGCACAATAAAGGTCCATACATGTTCCAAACTTCAAACTCAACCCCAGAAACAAAGTTACAACACACGTAATCTACTCAATGTGAGAAGGTGCGCCACAACATCTGTCATCGATGGTCTTTGATCCACATCAAGGCTAAGACATTCCACGGCGATTCCTGCCAGAGTGTCAAGAAGCTCCAAATTTCCTGCTCCTGCAATTTCCTGATCAAACAACTCGGTTGCTTTCTTCCCTTCTTTGTGGGACTCGAGAAAACTCGTCACTAAGTTGTTATTGTCAGCATGAGTGGCCTTCTTCCTGCTAATGACCTCTAAGATGACAACTCCAAAACTATAGACATCACTTTTCTCAGTCAAGAGGCCTGTTTGTAGGTATACTGGATCCATATAACTCATGTCACCAATTACGTTGGCAGTATGTTCCTTGTCTACTGCAATCAACCTCGATATGCCGAAGTCTGAGATCTTTGGTACAAAGTTGTCATCCAAGAGTATGTTTGCTGGTTTAACATCACCGTGCAGGATTTTGGTATGGGCTTGTGAATGCATATAAGCTAGACCATGTGCTGATTCTAAGACAATGCTTAGACGCACATCCAAGTTGAGAGGCTCCCTAAACTCGTGAAGAATGTCATGCATGCTTCCTTTGGAAATGAACTCATACACTAGCAGGGGGCTATCCACTTCTAGGCAACAACCAATGAGCCTAACGATGTTCTTGTGGATGACTTGAGATTGGATGATGACTTCATTTGCAAATTGCTTGTTCTCCTGCACATTACGACCAATTGGTTTCTTTACCGCGACAAGTACATTATCAAGAACCCCCTTATAAACTTCACCAAAGCCACCTTTTCCAATTACATTGCTGCTCTTTAAAATTGGCTTGAGCTCCTCCATTTTAAAAAGCTTAATAACTTTAGCCTTCTCCAAGGTAAGTCCACCATTTTTCTCGTAGAACTCTCTAGTCTTCCGCTTCTCTTTTCGAATAATAATGATGAATGCCACCAATGTGATGGCAAGAATACCACCTATCACACCTATGCGCACAAAGAAGCGAAGATTAAATAAACTTTCTTATTATTATTCTGGTAGCAAATGATAGTAAGTAAATATTTGAGTTTACTCCACTTTGAAGCGCTGAAACACTAATTAACAAAAAGAATGGCAAGATACTGAAGTTGAACATACAATGCGTCTCAGATCTAACATGTACACGCTACATAAGATGCATGGCGTCATCAGGTGATCATTTTTTCTTGAAAAAGGAGGATGACCCCGGCCTCTATATTAGAGTGATGCATGCAGCCATCATGTGATCTAAACGTTTTAGATATATATTTTCATGTTGCTAGGAAGTACACACTCACTCAGCTGATATCCTAGAAAAATCCGAACTATAGTGGAGTTTATAGTACATAATAGTACTCCCTCAGTCCCAAAATGTAAGACAGTTTTTAAGAAACGTCTTACATTTTGGGACAGAGAGAGTACTAAAATACTTCAAAGGACTACATATACATGGAGAGAGGTTAGCCAAACCGATAGAAGTATTAGCTTGTCTGAGGTTACCTATGCAAATTTGTGCAGCGGGTGGGAACTTTGGAGTACAGCGTTGAGTTTTTGGGTCATCGCTCCCATAACCCGGAGGGCAGGTGCATTGGTAAGATCCTTGGGTGTCCCTGCATACACCTTTGCAAGGATATTTGTTTGAATCTGCACATTCATCTATATCTGTGTTGCCAAAATTCAGAATAATTGTGAAGTTAGGACAGTAATCAGTAAAGAAAAATCAAATCATTATGGTCGAGCAGGGAGTCTGTCTTACTGGTGCATCCGGCGACAAGGTAGGCGTTGCCCTCATAGCCTTCGGAGCAGTTACAATTGTAGCCAGGCCCATTGGTGGCGTCGACGCAGTAGCTCTGATTGCTCAGGCAGGCGTACTCCTTGGTCTTGTTGGCTTGGGCACACGATAATGAGACGGAGTCGTCGCCGGCGCCACGGATGGCCCAGTCCAGCCACACCGGCGAGGTCCGGAGGGTGTCCCTGAGGAGGTCGGAGCGCCGGAAGGTGTAGTTGGTCCTGTCGACGAGGAAGGCGTAGTCGCATGGGCTGTAGTCCATCATGCTGGTGTGGTCGTACTCCCGGAACCTGAAGTAGTTGTGGGTGAGCCCCGGCGGGATGTCGACGTGGCAGCACCCGAGGCTGGCGCACTGCCCGTCCTGCGCGCTGGCCGAGCTGTTGCAGAAGTTCATGCACCCGAGGTAGTAGGAGTAGCCGTCGACGAGGCGCGTGGTCTTGTCGCTCCCGATGGTGCCCATGGTGTTGCAGCCGAGGACGACGAGCATGTTGCGCGCGCTGGAGAAGCGGTACACGCCGTGCTTGTTCATCAGCGTCTCGCCATGGCTGTACTCCTCGGCGCGGCGCGGGTCGGTGGCGTTGTAGCACATCCGCCCAACGGGGAGCATCACCAGCGACTCGGCGGGATCCACGGACAGCTGCACCACCCGAAGGGTCGTGTTGGCGAGCACGGGGCCGTCGTAGACGCAGTCGATCTCAAAGCCCTCGCGGAAGCAGTCGCGGCCGCCGGCGCCGACGCCGATGCCGAAGGGGTAGCGGATGTCCACGCCGCCGCAGCTGCTCTGACAGCCATGAGCCACGACGACGCGCTCGGGCGTCTCGGTGGCGGCCGCCGCCGCCGCCAGGAGCAGCAAGAAGGCAGTCAACATATTGCCACCAGCTGAGCTGATGCACGCCTGCCGACTGACGTTTTTGCTAACCAGCTGATGATTAGATTCTCAAAACGGTGTGGAATAAACGATTGGTTGGTGTGTTGCATTGCATATTTCCTTCTTTCCCTCCTCTATATATGCATGCATCCGGCCGAGACAGCAACGTATGAGATAGGAGTACATCCATATCTATCCATGCAAGTTGGTGCATGCCGCTCATAGATTTGCTCACTCGGTTTGCTCACTCCGTGTGGTGAATGTTTTTTGTATATAGAAAGAATAGCGCATGCATGGTATTCTTGATCACATGCATGTGCTGAGCATCTCTTGCCACTTGGATAGCGAGTGGGGTACGAGGGAGGCAGCTGCTCGGCATCATCTTTCAAAGGGATCCAAGGATTGTTTCTCATTTTTCTTTCTTGACCCCGTGACTTGATTTGCAAGTGGGAGTGGCTCATCCAGCCGGCAGCTAGTTTCGATCGAAAAGAAACCAGGGGCGGGTTTGGCAACCAGACCTCTGATGAGTGATGGGTTAGACTCACTCATCATTGCCGGACAAGAAGAAAAACCAGGGGCGGACTGCGTCGGCCGCCGCTGATAGCCGTTGTTGGCTCCTCGTGGCCCTTTATTGCCTCAAATAGGCGTGCTTTTCTGGCCCGGCCTATTTCGGCGAACGCTCTTGGTTAGCACGTGCGTTCCTGCGTTTTTCTTTTTTCTCATTTTGGTTTTGGATGGTCTTCTGTTGGTTTCTGGTCGGTTTTAAATTTTCATCTATTATTATTTTTTAATATAAAACAAAGATGTTCATAAAGAATTAAGTATGTTTGATTTTTTTTTTCTAAAATATGTTAAGGAAATTTGAAAATATTTCCAAATTATATAAATTGAATGGATTTATATAAATCGAGAGCTCCTCGTGGCCGTTTAAAAAATGGCAGCCCGATGCATGTAGTTCCCGCTTGCGCAGGGTCCGAGAAAAGTCCGACCACTTTGGATCAATAGTACACAGTCTTTTCCTACATTTTTATAAGAGGTTGTTTCTAGAACTTGGATCCGTGACCTCATCGTCACAAAACAACAACTTTATCACTGCGCCAAGGCTTCCCTTCTCCTCATAGCCGTTTATTGCCTAAATTGCCTCAAATGGCCTTTTATTACTCATAATATGAATTCATTAATCATCCGACTGCCGCGTTGTTGAAAATTTTCTGTTTTCACAAACGAAAGTTTTCACACGGAAGCTGGGCTTATTTGGTTTGGGCCAGACCAGAGATTGTAGTCTATGGTCTGTACCATAAGCCTAAAAAAGCTACAAGTTTTGCGGTAGTTGGCATTATTTACAGCCGTTCGTTTGCCTCAATCTAATGGCACACACATACGTAGTACTCGGTAGTACCCGGACGAAAGTATTCGAAAGTACTGGTCGGTACTAATGACAATGTGGGGACACCTTTTAATCTAGGGGCATTTTAGTCATAGGAAAAATTAATTTGCACGTCCATCTCGTCCAATGCTAAACCGCCGCCATCGTCCTTCCCCTCTTCCATCACCATTACAACCGCGACATCTACTCCCTTTCCTGCATTCCAAGTCAACCGCAGCCTTCTCCTCCTTCTCGTGGCCGCAACTTTGCTCTTCTCCTCTTCCACAGCCCATCCCCCTCTTCCATCCACACAAGAACCTCGATGGAGCTGCAGATCGCTAGCGGCGAGAACGCTTACTTTGTGGAGATAGCCGGCGGCGACCAGGTCAAGAGGGCCAGGTTGACGGAGATCTGTTCTTGGTTTAACAACACAAAGCAGATGAACTGGACGACAATGG